CCTCCTCCTCGTCCTCCCTCTTCCTTCCTCTCCCCCCCCCCCACCCGCCTCCTCCTATTTTAGAGACAAGGTCTTACTATGTTGCCCCTGCTGGCCTTGAATCTGAAATTTTTCTGCCAAAGCCTTTTCAGTAACTGGGATTACAGGTGCACACCACCATGTCCTGGCTTTGAGTATTTTTTTTTTAATAATAACCAGTGTTTCACTTATCTTGTCTATTGGTATTACATTTAACAACTAACACATAGTAGGCTTTCAAGTATTTGTTGAATGAGTTTTAATAAATTTTTAGAATAGTCACTTTTAGCTGTTTATTTGTCATCTGAAAGCAACCAGAGGCCTTCAGTTTTTCAAGAGTGATACTAAAATTCCCCCCATGTAAAACTCATGTGATATTAATAATTGTTTCTGAAGCCAGGCACAGTGGTACATGCCTGTAATCCCAGCAGTATGGTAGGCTGAGGCAGGAAGATCTGAGTTCAAAGCCACCTTCCGAAATTTAGTGAGGCCCAAGCAACTCAATAAGACCCTGTCTCGAAATAAAATACAGAAAAGGGGCTGGGGTGGCGATTTAGTGGTAAGCGCCTCTACGTTAAATCAATCCCCAGTACCCAAAAAAGAGAATTATTTCTGAATCTAAGCTAATATTCCAGATACTTAATTGAAGGTACAAAGCTAGATGTCTTTTCTGGTCTTGGATAACCAAAATGTTCATTAGAAACAAGTAATTGAAATTTGAGAAGTATTAGTAATGAAGAAGCTATGTTAAGTTCCTGTAATAAAAGCAGTTTTGTTGATTATTGAGTTTCGGAGATAGTCTTACTAACTCCGGCATGTTTGCTAATATTCATTTGTACATTGCCTCCTTTTATCTCCTCCTTGTTACCTTTTTATTAATGGATTGATGAAATATACAGCTTTTAAATATGAGGTCCTGACTTCTTTAAGCCTGCCTTCTTGACCTGACAAAGGAATTGTAGCAATTTTTAGTAAGAAATGTGTGTACTTAATTATAAATGGAAAGTAATAGGGATGTGTAGAAATACAAATCTTTTTTTTTCCCCTTCTTTTTAACTGTCACTTCAGTTAAGACTGAGAACTTAGTGTATTTAAAGATTAAAGGGAAAGAGTCAATAGAGATGAATATAAAAGGGAATGATTGCAAGTTTGGTACAGTAGGACAAATAACTACCCTCTGTATGTACCATTCTATCACTGCAGAACTTACTAGAAATCATACTATTTTACTCACTCATGTGAAAAAATGCTTTACTTCATGTAAATAGCCTTTTAGAGGTCTTAATATAATATCTTATTATGAATATGATATAATAAAATTTAATGAACAATCTGGCACATTTTATGCTTTTTAATCAAATGGAAGTAGTGCTTGCTAAAATTCTTGGTTGCTGATAATATTTCAAGAAAGTATGTGAAGCTAAATCATTTACAGTAACTTTTAATCTCCCTTTCCTCATAGCTACTAAGTTCTAAGTGATGCTATTCTTGCCTCCTACTAGATGCAGGACTTGTTTTGATAAGCGAATAGGCCAGACCTTTGGGGGTGCTTTCTCTGAAACCTTTTAGGTCTCTTGGGCTGCTAGACCTCAAGTTGGCCCCTGAAGAGCAAAGAAGAGGATTATATTTCATTGGCAACAGACTTGAGGAACTTTATTGGATCTAGCAACATTGGAGATAGAAGCCAAAAATCATAGAATAACCTTCTCATTAGCCATAGGACACCAGTGGGGTAGTTAGCTCCTGTGTGACTCTTCTGAACCTCAAAATAGGGTCATAACTTTTTTTTTTCAGGATTATTATTTTATGTATACACTTTAGAAAACTGACCATGTATTCATTCTTTATCAGTACGAGGATGTCGTCCAGGAAAGATTGTGCAGATGACTGAAGCAGAAGTCCGGGGCTTGTGTATCAAGTCTCGTGAAATCTTCCTCAGCCAGCCTATTCTTTTGGAATTGGAGGCACCACTGAAAATTTGTGGTATGTAAATGGATAAAGTTGAAAGCAAGTCTTTCAAATCATGTTTTTCTTCCCATATTTATATTGAAACTTATATTTTCAATTATAAAATTGAAACTTTCATAAAATGATGTTATAGACAACAAAATATTTGTAGCATTACAACAGAAAAAAAGGTTCCAGAAATCATAACAAATAAAGAGTCTTTAGAAGTAAGAAAACAACAGTACAATAAGAACAAAAGATACGAAGAGGCCAATCTTAGAAATAATAAAATGGCCACTAAGCAAAGTCCTCACTCTACCTCACTTATAATCAGTGAAATGCAATTTAAAACAAGTCCCAACCAGACAAGGAGGCCCATGCTACGTGGGAGGCTAGGGCCGGAGTGTTGCAAGTTCAAGGCTAGTCTGGGCAACTTAGCTAGACCTGTCAAAAATAAAAATGACTGGGGATGTAACTTAGTGGTATAGCCCCTGCCTAGCATACTCAAGGCCCTAGGTTCAATCCCCAGTACCACTAAAAAATTAAAAATAAACAAAGCAAGTCTCTTATTCCAATCAGATTACCAAAAAAAAAGGTCAAAGATTGATATTTAATGTTGTCAAAGATATGGAGAAATGGCATTCCAGTACACTACTTTAAAAAATGTATAGAATTTAGAGGATCAATACAGACCAGTATCCATGGTCTTCTAATTTTTTTTGTGTTTAAATTTATGTTGCAGATTATATTACTTTATACATTGTATTTGTTCAGTGTCTTTTGGCCAAAAGCATAAAGTTATGAGCTTTTAAGTCTAGTGATCTTGTTGTTACAACCAGAAAAATTTTTGGATAGAAAGTAATATTTTTCTGTCCTTCATGTAGCAGAAGGAAGTGGTTTAAATACTGTATCATACTGGCTTTTGCTTGTATAATGCAAGTATTCTTTGTAGTGGTTATTAGTGTATATGACATTGCTTTCATAGGCTTACATGCTTTTGCTTAAACAAGGATAGTTTGCTGTATGCAAAAAAAATTCTCTCTGGCATATTTTTTAAATCTACTTTTGTATTGTGTAACTTGTAGATACTTAATATGTTCCTTAAATGATTTTTATTCTCTTTGTGTTTTATATTAAATCATGCACCTGATATTACTTTGTGTAGTGCCCAGCAAATAAGAGGTATTAGTATTAATTGAATAAATTAATTAGCTTAGAGTAATATCTGTAAGAGGTAAACGTTTAGAATTCTCTAGAAATGATCATTCCCTTTTATGAATTTAAGTGAAGCAAATGTAATTATTTATAGATGATCTTAAAATGATTTATTATTATGGGGCTGGGGATGTGGCTCAAGCGGTAGCGTGCTTGCCTGGCATGCGTGTGGCGCTGGGTTCGATCCTCATACAAATAAAGATGTGTCCGCCAAAAAAAAAGTAAATATTAAAAAAAATGATTTATTATGCTCCTCAATTTATGATAGGGTTATGTCCCAATAAACCCATGATAAATTGAAATATCTTAACTTAAAGATACATTTATGCTGGGTCTGGTGGTGCAGGCCTGTAATCCCAGCAGCTTAGGAGGCTGAGGCAGGAAGATCATGAGTTCAAAGCCAGCCTTATCAAAGCAAGGTGTTAAGCAACTCAGTGAGACCCTATCTCTAAATAAAATACAAAATAGGGCTGTGGTTGAGTGCCACTGAGTTCAGTGCCCCCCCAAAAAAGAAGTATGGACTAAAAATACATTTATACACCTAACCTACTGAACATCAAAGCTTAACAACACAGTATGCTGTGAAATATCAGTTGTTTACCCTTATTGCATGGCCAACAACTGGGAGCTGCAACTTACTGCTACTGCCTGCCATCTCCAAAGAGTATTGTACCACTTAATCACTAGCCTAGGAAAAGTATGGTTTCTACTAACTGATATTGCTTTTGCAGCATCATAAAATTATAAGTAAAACCATCATTAGTCAGGTACCACCTGTACTTTTTAAAGATACTCTTTCAAATGTTTTTTTAATGTAAAAATAACTTAAAGGTATTAGAAGTTATTTATACTGTGTATTTCTTAGTTCTTACTATTAGATCAAAGTAAAAATATTATACAGTAAGAGTAACTATATTATCAGTTATATAAAAAAATTGCCCCCAAAGTTTGTGGCTTACAATATTAACATCCCACAGTTTCTGTAGGTCAGGAATTGGCACAGCTTTGATAGTCCTCTGGTTCTGGGATAAGGATTGTCAAGGTTCAATAGTGAGAGGATTCAGTTTTTTATAGGCTGATAGACTGAGGGCCTCAGTTTCAAATGAACTATTGACCAGAGGCCTCCCTCAGTTCTTTGCTGTATGAGTTTCTCCATAGACCATTGACAGGGAAGAAGGTGTAAGAATGCAAGCAGAAGTTGTGATCTTTTATATCCTAATCTTGGAAGTATTTGCCTATCTCATTTTTGTTGTTTTCTATAAGTCACAAGTCACTAGGAATAGCCTTTGCTTAAGGGGAGGGGATCGCACAAGAGTTTGAACATTGGGAGCTGTTTTGTAGAAGCTGCTTGTGACAGTAATCAATTTTTCTAAAACTAACTTTTTCTGTTTTTTAGGAGATATTCATGGACAGTATACAGATTTACTGAGATTATTTGAATATGGAGGTTTCCCACCAGAAGCCAACTATCTTTTCTTAGGAGATTATGTGGACAGAGGAAAGCAGTCTTTGGAAACCATTTGTTTGCTATTGGCTTATAAAATCAAATATCCAGAGAACTTCTTTCTCTTAAGAGGAAATCATGAATGTGCTAGCATCAATCGCATTTATGGATTCTATGATGAATGTAAGTAAAAATAAAAACTTACAAAAGAAATTAATAGAGAAAGGGTCAGGCAGCTGGGGTAGGGGCTATGGTGGTGGTGGCGGGGGCAGGGGGGGCGCGTGGTGGTGGGATGACACAGGGTTATAGTGGCCACGGGGTTAAAAAGAAACGCTAAAGTTCCTAGGGAACCAAAGTAGAATTTTGTAAGAACAAAATGGATAAAGAGGAGAGAACCTCTGGTGGCTGTGAAGGTCCTGATGCCATATATGTCAGATTGATATCTTCTGATGGTCATGAATTTATTTAAAAACAAAAAACAGTGCACTAACATCAGGAACAATTAAAGCCATGTTGAGTGGCCCAGGTCATTTTTCCAAAAATGAAACCAGTGCATTCAGTTTTAGAGAGATTGCTTTTCATGTGCTATCAAAAGTATACATGTATTTTACTTACAAGGTTTGCTACATTAACTGCTCCACCAAGGTTCCTGAATTCCCAAATGCACCCAAAATTTCCCTGGAACTACTGATAGCTGCAAAATTCCTGGATTGTTAAGTAAATTGTAATACAAACTGTTTAAAAAACAAATTAAAAAAAAACATGAAAGAAAAGTAAATTATAGAAACATCTTCTTAATAAGTTTCCAGATCAAAGGAATTCCTCCAGTTCAAAGTTTTTTAAAACTAAAAAACAGAGGCCTAAGAAAGGAAACTTGAAACTGGGAACCATATTACTAATGAAATTAGTTTCTTGGGATCTCCTTGGTCATGTTGTTTCAGATTGACTGTAGTTTCCTTAGGTGAAAAGGCCCTGTTTTAATAATTAGTTTACCTAGTAAGGTATCCAAGTGAAACAGGTCTCTATCAGTAGTGGCTTCAGGTTTTCTAATGTCCAGAAGTTTTTAGCTCACAGCATTCTTATGATATGACCAAAGCTCTTATTAGCACTGTGTCACAAGAACTATTGAAACATTCTGTGAAACTGTTTAAAAGTCAAAAGTTTATGCAGGCATAGTGGTGCATGCCTGTAATCCCAGCACATCCAGTGGCTGAGGCAGGAGGATCACAAGTTCAAGGCCAGACTTGGCAACGTAGACCCTAAGCAACTTAGTGGAACCCAGTCTCAAAAGAAAAAATAAATAGAAAGGGTTGAGAATGTAGTTCGGTGATGAAGTTCCTCTGGGTTTAGTTCCTGTTAATCCTACCCCCACGGGAAAAAAAAAGGTCAAATTTTATTTTTAGAATTTTAATCTGTATTTACAAACCCAGACAGATACTGAATACTCTGGGGTATCCTTATTTTATTGTGCTCTTTTTCATCAGTAGGAAATAAATGATTTAATGTTCTGTAGTAGTATTTCCAAGTATTATTATTATTATTATATTACCCTACTATATTCAAATTTTGTCTGTTAGTTTTGTTAGATTGACTGGGAGTGAGTATGTTTGGTTAATTACAATTTAGAATCAATTATGGTAATTTTCTAATTGAATTTATTCTTTTTTTTTTTTTAACTGTAGCATTCCCCATTAGAATCTACTCTTGCTTTTTTCCATCTTTAAATATGGTAGAGTCCTAATTAAACTCTTGTCTCCTTGATTTATATAATGATTTGACAAGTGTTTGAGGACAATATATATGTGTGTATACATGTGTACACACACACCAGTCACTTCTGAACACTGGGGATATAGCAGTACATCAGACAGATAACCTCTATTTTCATGGAGCTTATGTTCTAATGGGAATGATTCTGTATTTGGTTTTATATTTTATTTTTAGTTATATAATGTAGTGTGTGGTTTGACTTGTTGAAAGCAGACCTGTAGAAGGGAAGTAGGTTAAGAACATGAAATCACATCTTCCTCAAGCTACCTAAGGAATAGAAGTATATAGGTGTGTTCTTAAACGAAAATAGAGGTATGAATATTCTTGAGGATAAAAGTGACATCAAATGGAATAATGCATGGGAGAGCAGCTTGTAAACAGTGCTTGGAGTTACACTTACTCATCAAGAGATAGGCTGTAGCCTAAAAACATAGGAGATCAGTACCTATGTCTTTCATCCCTTTTCTGGTAGTTGAACTTAAAGCCAAATCGGGAAAATCAAGTAAGTCTTAAAAAGGTGAACATGCACTTGAGGTCATCTTTGTTGTAGCTATATAAGCTAGGCTACAGGAAAATTATAGCCTTTATGTTGTTGCACTTGCTATAGTGCCAAGATGTAATTCACTCAAAAGTGAATATCAAGTTAAGCACTTGCAAATTTTTCTTTTTTGGCAGTAATTTTATACTTTTACTCAGTGCATTACAGTTAAAATGGACCCCTTTCACTTCTGCTTACTCACTTGGCTAGGTATTTAGTGCTAAAGTTGAAGGAAAAAGATGAACCAATACCTATTAGGCTATTTCTAAACTTCTGTATTATAGTGATCTTAAAAGACAAAAATTGTTTGATGTGTTTGTTTCATAAAACACCCAACAAAATCTTGGAAGTCTTTGTAACTTTACTGAAGGTGCTAGTGTTTAATATATTTGTTACCTTTTTTGAAGTGTTAAACTTACTCTTCTTTTTTTTTTTTTTTTTCTGGCTTTGCAGTGCTTGGGTTGAAACTCAGGGCCTCACATGTGGTAGACAAGTGTTCTACCACTGAGCTACATTCCCAGCTCATCAAACTTATTTTTATATAACTTGTACTTCTAGGGGGAAAGTGCTGGTTAAGCAAAAGAGAAAATTGAAATCATATGGGAAAAACTTTTAGATTTTTAAATTTATTTGCTTGTTCTTATTACAGGCAAACGAAGGTTTAATATTAAATTGTGGAAGACCTTCACTGATTGTTTTAACTGTCTGCCTATAGCTGCCATTGTGGATGAGAAGATCTTCTGTTGTCATGGAGGTAGAGTAATAAATTTGCCTTAGGAGTTTTCCTTATTGTTCCCTAACTCAGAAAAGACTATAATAATTAGAATGCTATGGGGGAACAAAGTAGTACTTATGTGAAAACTGAAGCAATTAAAACTGTATTAAGCATAGCTAAAACAATTGGAAATTTGTGATATGTATGAGTAATGAAAATTTAATTCTTTAAAAAATTTCTCATATATAAAAAAAGGATAACTAGAAGTTGTGGTTTTTGTTTGTTTGGTTTCGTTTTTAAACGTCTTGTCTTTGCCTCTATTTGTTTTGTGGTGCTCAGGATCACACCCGCAGCTTTATACATGTTGGGCAAGTGCTCTACAAGCGAGCTGCATCCCATCCCCAGTCTGTCAGTAAAAATTAGATGATCATTATTTTCTTGCCTATGTATTGCAATGTAAATACCTTTCATCAGAATCCAAATGTAATTGAACTTAATTTTTACGTATTGCTGCTTTGTGCAATGTGTCTCCTTTAGTCCTAAAAGTAATTTCTTGGTAGAATGTAAGTTATTTTATATGATTTGAATTTGTAAAAATTCATTGGAATAACTAACATGTCTAGCGCTTAGGTAGATGTTGTAATGGATCATCTTGAAGAATTTTCAGATCTATTGTTAAAATATATTTAAGAAACATTAAGTAATAAATGATTTAATTACGTCAGTACTTCTAGAGACAGTACATTATTATGAGAAACTAGAAAAGGGAGAAAAGTGTAGGGCACGTGTTTGTGGAGGCATGAGTTTTAGAGGGTAAATGGACTTTAGAAAAGTGAAAAAGACTTGAGACAGTCTGTGTATTGTCTAGTTTAGGGAATGTGTGCCTGATTAGAATGTCAAAGACACATTGGGGAATGATGATATAAGACTAGAGATTTGAATACTGAGCAAAGGAGTTTGTTAAATGGTTTAATAGTATAGATTTTGGATAGGGAAGTAATTTAATGAAAATAATTGAGGGGCTGGGGATGTGGCTCAAGCAGTAATGCGCTTGCCTGGCATGTGTGGGGCGCTAGGTTCAATCCTCAACACCACATTAAAATAAAATAAAGATGTTGAGTCCACCGAAAACTAAAAAATAAATATTAAAAAAAAAATAATTGAAAATTTGTTTTCATCACTATATGGAAAGAGTTACACTGGGAAAATGCTGAAAAGACAGATGCACTTGATTAGGCTTAAGGCAATAAATGATTTATTTTCTAACAACACATTATATTGAGACATGTTTTCCAGTAGGTATTAAACATTTAAGGGATTATAGTTCTTACACATTGGTATAGCTAAGAATAGAAATACAGCAGTATGAAATGTGAATGTTTAGCTTTGTTCTTTGTGATGACACTTGGATTGCCTACCAGAGAGAATTAATAGCTTATGTTTGTATACTACAAATATTTTCATGTGTTTTTTATTGTTTATCCTTCTGGTCAGCAGATCCTGCCTTCATGAAAATAATGAGCATGTTGGAGTGGGATGTGAGGAAAGATTCTTAGGGAACCAATGAGGCATTTTAACTTGGGAGTAAAAATATTTAAGATTAGATAGTTCATAAAGTGGCAAGTGGTGGGAAGGGTTGTAATTAAGTGTCTTTGTACAAAGGACAAGAAATGGTTGGAAAGAAAGGGGGGTCTTTCCTTGAGAAATTTTTTGAAATATAATAAACAGAACTTCATTTCCTTGGTAGGAAAGATGGAAAAGACAACATAATGATAATGTTCTGTTACATCAGGATTATGTTTCATCTTTTTATTTATAGGACTATCACCAGACTTGCAATCTATGGAGCAGATTCGGAGAATTATGAGACCCACTGATGTCCCTGATACAGGTACATATGTAAAGAAGTTTGTTTTGTATAAAATGTTGACATATTTGAACCTAATTATATTTAGTGGAAGTAGGATTGGTTTAATAAATAATAGAGACTACTTTTATAGTCAGTAAGCTAACTACAGAGTATTCTCATTAACCATTCCCCAAAATGTATGCCTTTTAAAATTTTATGCAACCTTAATGTGGTTCTTTCAAATGTATCACAAAAAAAGATCTTGCTGTTGATTCCACTTACTTTTCTAAGTTCCCTCATTCATACCTTTTAAATTGCCGGGCATGGTGGCACACACCTGTAATCCCATTGGTCCTGAGACGGAGGATCTTGAGTTCAAAGTCAGCCTCAGCAAAAGCGAGGTGGTAAGCAACTCAGTGAGACCATGTCCCCAAATAAAATACAAAATAGGGCTGAGGATATGGCTCAGAGGTCGAGTACTCCTGAGTTCATTCCCTGGTACCAAAAAAATAAAATACAAAAAATCCCTATTAATCCAAAGATTTTAGTTAAAGTTAGCCAAGGATAGTTGCCTTCTTTGTTATTTTTTGCATCATCTGTATTTCGTTCAAACTTTTAGAGCTCTGAAAGCTCTAGAGACATGATTAATTTTTTGAAAATTATATATGAAGTTGATTAAAAATTTTTGTGTAAATTATTGACTATTCCAACTTTAAGAACAACTCTTAAGTCAAATAAAAAAATGAATCGAGTAGGGGAAAAGCAAATAAGTCTAGTTGATGATAAAATGCTGAATTAACAAATGAGCCTGGTGTAACTTTATAAATAGATGATAGGCATAGTTG